GATTAATCGATCAATCGATTGAATGTTCAAAATAACAAATTTTTTTATACATTTAATACTATTTTATCTATCGATTATATTAACTTTTGCCATATTATTTGTTATTATCAATTTTTTTTTTTAAATTATTAAACGATTATGTATTTTTTTAATTATTTTTATATAAACTTATTATTATTATCGTCATTATTTTTATGTATCGATAATTTATTATTAAAAAAAAAAAAAATTATTTAATCGTATAAACAAACAAACAAACACACACATACAAACTCACATAGACTGTCTATTAATAATAAATATATAAAAGTATCTATTAAATATTATTATTATTTTTTTTTTTACTTAATTATAATAATAATAATAATAATAATATATATAAAAAAACGAAATTTTATAGTAAAATATTTATATATATATATACATAAACAAAAGGTCTATTAATATTAATTTCATTAATAAAATATCCTCCTTAATCGTTATTATTATTATTATTTTGTTTTTGTTATTGGTAGTATCGTGTGTGAGTGATTGAAAAGTTATTGATTATCATTATCAGTATATATTTAATAAATTTAAAAATATTTTCGCGGTTTTTTTTTTTTAGAATGTGTGTGTAAAATTTTATTTATTTTTTATTTTTTTTTAACGAATTATTTGTACGTAGTAAGTAAAAATTAATTTAAACGTTTTATATTGTTTATGATTTTTAAAGTGCACGTTTTATGTATTATTAATATCATTATTATCATTATTATTATATTTACAGTTATAAAACGTAAATCATTGAGATCGTCACCGATTTGGAAATTTTTTTCAATACACGGAACTTTTGTCGTTTGTAAATCATGCGGTAAAACATTAAAAGGAGTCAAATCGACAAATGCCGAATCACATTTGGCTTGCATGCATTCGAATATATTTTCTAAATTCATGTTGGAAAGAAAAAAATGGAGGAATTACAGGGAGACTAAAAATTATTACATAACGTCAATAAAAACCAGTAAGAGAAAACAAAGGAAAGACATTTAAATTTTCTCATCACAAATACAAAATTTGACGGAGTGATCTACTAGATTACTATTGCTAATATTATTATTATTATTATTACTATCGTAAAAACTTTAAATGTTTTAATTGTGTATACGCATTTTTTTTTTTTTTCATTAATCAACAAATTATAAAATTGTTATCATCATCATCATTATTATTAAATAATATATATATTGTTGCGTATATAAGTATAAACGATCAAGAGTAATAAATTGTAATTATTATTATTATTTACACGAGTTTGTTGATGTTAAGTTAATAAAAATAATTATTTCTGTTTATTACTATTATTATTATTATTATTTTTTTATTTTTATTGCGTTCGACCCGTTATGTATGTATGTATCGTCATACTTTTTTATTATTATTATTATTATTTTCGCGTTTTTTATGTATTTAATTACGCGTTATATGCATGTACGCAGGCGTAACGTATTTATCAAACTTTTTTGTAAAGTTGTTTGTCGTCAGTTAGTTACGAGTAATTTATTAAATAATATTACAATTAATTACTCGTTTTCTCTGTCGGCATAATAATAATAATATTTTGATTACCTACGTGTGTAATATAATAATAATAATAATAATAATAAAAGGTTAAATTCTTCGCGGATTAATATTAACGGTCGATGATGAGGCATTAATCAACATCATCATCATTATCGTCGTCGTCGTCGTTGTGTCGAATGAGATTTTAAATGTCAGAGTAGTAATAATGATAATGATAATAATAATAATAATAATTAATGTCAACTATGTGTTGGAATAATAAAATTAATTAACTGTTAAATAAATCCTATTAAATACCTGACAAAGAATTTTTTTAATTTTTTTTTTATTAACGGTTTTTTTAATTATTATTTAATGTCTATAGAAAAAAAAAAAATTAAAGTTTAAATTGTTATTATTATTATTATTATTATATTTTTCCTTTTCCTTTTAAATTTGTTTTGTATGGAGACAAAATTAATGTGTAACCAACCCCTTTTGTAAACCCTGCCTGGTGCACGCTTATATATTATTTAGCTTTTTTTTTTTTTTGGTATTGAAATCCCATGAATAATAATAATAATAATAAATCCACCATTTCTCCCTATCTCTGCACGCGCACTTTTCCAAACGATTATTATTATTTAAAAAAAAAAACTAATAAATTAAAATTTTTTTTTTTTTTTTTTTCTATTTCAGATCCATTGAAAAGACTGAATTTATTATTTAACAGTAAAAAATCAAATCCCGTATGGGATTATTTTCAATTGGACGGAGATAAAGCCATATGCAGATTGTGTAACAAAAGGTTGGCATATAAGAATCACATGTATTTAACATCGTTATCAAATCATTTGGCATCGAAAAGGTATGGTCATCGTCAACACTACATGGAATACGTGACGAAAAAAAACGAATTGATAAGGGAAACTGATATGTTTAATAATATCATACTTAAAATGGGTAACAGGACTTTCGATTCCTCGGATTTTTACAATTTTAAATACATGTATAAAAATTTCATATGCGACAAATGAGTTTGTCAAATCCCCTCCCACCTCCCACTCCCACCACCCCCCCTCTATTTTTTTCTATTTCTATTTCTCTAATTATTATTATTTTTTTTTTTTTGGTTTAGAGTTAATTTGTAAATTAGGTTAAGTTACAATTTTTTTTCTTTTTCATTTAAAACATTCATGATTATTATTATTATTATCATTTTTTGTTTCTTTAAAGTAATATTATTATTATTATTATTATTATTAATTATAATTAATTTTTTCTATTGAGTACAATTTATATGAGTACGTTTTAAAAAAAAGTAGTAGTTTTAAAAAAAAATTTTTAGTTGGTTTTAAAATGTAAATAAAAATGTTTTAACATTTAATTATTTTCAAATTTGTAACAACAATAATAATAATAATAATAATAATAATAATAATAATAATAAATATACATAAAATATTATTTTTAATAAGTAGTAATAAATTATCATTTTTTTTTAGTTCATTATTATTAAAATATTATTATTATTATTATTAATACCTGCCACATCGTTCATTTTTTAAATTTGATTTTTCAAATGAATGATGATAATAATAATAAGAAAAAGTCACGTGTCTCTTGTAAATAAATTATTGTAAGTTAATAATAATATAAAAATTCAAACTTATAATTATCAAATATATATATATATATTTATTTAATAAAAATAAAATGTTTTTTTTTTTTTTTTTAATTTTACCTAATCGATAATCGATAATCGAAAATCGAAATCGAAATGAATATTAATGGTTATGATAAGACTCGTTTTAACACGTTTCGAGATAGTTATAACGGTATAAAAATGAAATTTCGATAAATAGAGGAAAAAGAAGTAAAAATAGATTTTGTCGTTGTTGTTGTTGTTGTGGTTGTCGGTTGTTGTATTTGTTTGTTTGTTTTACGAAAAAAAATAATAACGAAAGGGAAAATTTTTTTTTAAAAGAACTGATTCGACGTTTGCGTTCGTTATCGTTTTAACGGATTTTGATATTATTATGTAGTTGTTATTATTATTATTGATGTTGTTAAGGGATGAAAAGGTCGGGGGTGGGGGTGGGGAGGTAAAAGAAATCCTATAGGTTTGATTTAAAATTAATAATTTTTAGGTGGAGTTGATTATCAAATGATAAAAACGAAACGTGGAAAGGATATGTTATTATACGATGGTTTTACGTACACGCAAAATAGAATGTGTAAGGATGGAATGAGATGGCAATGTTCTTATCCAAAATGTCGGGCATATTGTAGAATGTCAAGCGCAGGATGGTTGACACCGTATAAAACCCATCACGACCATGAAAAACCATCGGAAAAACAAATAAAAAAAAAAATTTTAAGCATGGAGGTAATAAAATTATCATTTAAAAAATTGGGAAAAAAAGAAAAACATTCTTAAATATTCTAGAATGTTCGTTTCAGTTAAAAGCACGTGCTCAATCCTCGGGTGCAACCCCCGGAGAAATATTACGTAATGCTTTGCCTGCGGAAGAATATGAAAGCACAGATCAAAGAGCTTCTTACACGAGATGCATACAAAGATATAGGAAAGCATTGAAAAGGAAAAATACGTGAAAATGAATACAAAAAAAAAATTTTCGGGTAATAAAGAATGCCTGGATGCCATCACGTGACAATCTGGAATTGATTCCAGTTTTCTTAAACCAATTTTTTTTATCATTGCCTACTAATCGAAAGTACAAACGAATTTTTTTTGTAACGTTTTATAATAAATCTGTGATTGTTATTATATTTTTTTTTACAATCGATAATAAATCAATAAAATTATTTCTTGTTTTTTTTTTTTTTTTTTGAAATTTTTAACGTACCTAGAATCGTACTGACCGGAAGTCAGTCAGTCACCGGAAGTCCTAAAATATATGTCAACGATAATGCATACAACATTTACAATTACCACGAGCAAATACAATTTTTTTATTTAAATCGTTTACAAATTTATTTATTATTATTATTATTATTATTATTATTATTATTATTATCGTAAACGTTAACGCCACGTTAACTAAACATAAGCATCACGAAGAAAAATAATTATTTTAAAAAAAAAAATTTCTTTTCTAATTTTTAATGGGTACGTTCATGACAGTTAATAAACAAAAAATTATTATTATTATTATTTTACCGGATGTTTTAATTTTTTTTTTTAATTTGAAAAAATAACACGGGATTTAATTTTGAATCGTTTCAGGTTACCAATTACAATACGATTTAGAAAAATCATCGAAAGAATATTTTTTTAAAGATATGGGTACGACAAATTATACATTTAGACGTACCTATAATGGAAAATTAATACTACAGCACAACGGATTCGAATATAGGACGAATAAAAGTAGCAAACAAAGCATAGTTTGGAGATGTTGTTGGCATGCCAGATTTAAATGTTTAGCCAGAGCACGAATATCAAATGCTAACGGTCTCTTATACATAACAAATCCATTACACACTCATCCACAAGTAAAAAAAATAAGAAATGTTTTATATTGTAAAAAAAATTCAAACCGACTAGAATAAAACAAAATGTCCATTCCCTATTTAAATTTAAATTTAAAACGTTTGAGAAAATATTTAGCACGTTTTAATTCCCCCAAAATTATTTAAATATTATTATTATTTTCTGTTGAGTTTATATGAAAGCAATCACATATATAATTTCACATGTGTTAATTGTTAAATGTGACTACATTTTTTAAGTTTTTATTTATATATATATATATAATAAATGTTATTGATAAAAAAATTTTAAAAGAAAATATTTATAAAATTACAAAATAGAAAATTGTAATCAATGATAATAATACTGCTTCAAACCAAAGATATGAATTGTGAAAAACAATTGATGGGAAATGTGGTTGAATGCAGGGGAGAGAGAGAGAGAGAAAGAGAGAGGAATAATAAGAAAATTAAAGAAAATTTTAATTTGAAATAAAAAAAAGAGGGATAAAGAATGTTTATGAATATTGGTTTAAAATGATGATGATTGATTTTTTGCACAAAATGTAGTGATTACAATATTTGTAGTCCTCATGATATATTCTGAATATATATTATTCATATAAAAAATATATATATAATAGAAATTATTCCTTCATTTAAATTATTGTTTGCCTAAAAGTTTAATTAGTGGTTTTAAAACATTTAAAATTACATTTCAGATGACAATCAACTGATTAATAAACTCAATGGAAGTAATGATTTTAAAATAACAATATCACAAAAAGGAATACCAAAATTATTTTATGGTGGATATCTTTACAGGAGAAATAATCCACATTTAAAAAATAAAACTTATTGGATTTGTACTAAATATTATGGTTATAAATGTAAAGCTGGATGTATACTTGGAAAAGATAGAATTGTGGTTTTAAGAGGTACTCATAACCATTAAATATATATTACTTACATTTCAATTTCAATTTACAATTGATTCAGTATATATATACATATATTCATTAACGCCTCCATTAACTGACATTCATTTTTTCTATGAACTATGTGATAATAATTGATATTAAAACTTACCCATACCTGAAACAATAAAAAAAATGTTTTATGTAATTATTATTATGTATTATTGTGATTAAATGTGGAAAAAAAACGATATATTTGGTGTTAAATTATAATTACCGTTTTCCAGTATTAACCTTTTTCATTGTGTTACCAATAAGCCATATTGATTTTTTTTTTTTTTTTGCTAAATTTGTATAAAAACAATTTATAAATATAACTTTTATTTGTTTTTATATTATTATATAATATATTTAACATTTCGAAATATATTAATAACAAATTAACACTTATTTCAAACCACAAACTCACAAATATTACCCCGAAAATGAAAACTAACGTTTAACGGTTTTTTGAACATTCTAGAATAAATAAAATCTGGTTTTTGGCGCGAAAAAATTTACAACGTTTGCTTCCGTGTTTAAAAACAATTCATTCGCTAAAAAATGCAAAAATTTATATATATATATATATGTAATTTTATTTATAAACATAAATACACGAATTTAGATGTCACTACTGTTATTCCTCTAATAATTTTAATTTATTTTATATTTACATTTAAAAAATATCATTTTAGAAATTTATATTTTAATAATTATGTATGTTATTAAATGGTGACATTATATCGGTAAGTAATTTTTTATAATCGTTTTGACAATCACATTAATAAAATTTTAAAACAAAATTGTGTATTTGAATTGTGATTAGTTTAATCGATTTCGATAATATTTCTGCATGTTTTGCTATTTTTCTTTTTTATAAAACTATTGATAAATTTTTCTTTTCTACAACCTAATGAATTATGAGAAATTTGCTTTTTTTTTACAAAATAAAACATTAAAAATTTTTATTAGTTTATATGATAAATATTTTTAATGACAAGTATTAGGTACTAATTAAAAATGTGTTAAGGTGAACATTAATTCTCTTTTTTTCTTTTTTCATATTAATACATTTTGTGAATTTACCACTCGAGTAATTAATTAATAAAAATTATTATTATTATTTTTTTTCTTAATCTTATCAATACAGTGATGATAAATTTTTGGAATGAATTGGTAAATATTAAAATATTTCATGTTTATTTTTTATATAAATATTCTTTTGATAATATTAAAATTTATTTTTAGATACTCGTTAATATTATTAAACTTAAATCATGCCGATTAATAATTTATTATCATTAATAATTTTCATTTTTAACATCATATTTAACTAATGCATTAATAAATAAACTGTCTTATTAACATTTGAAAAAGATTTTGGGAAAACAAATAGATAAGTATTTTTCTTTTTAAATTTTATTTTATTTTCTTAATTAAATAATTATGTTGTAGCTCGATAAGTACTTTTATAAAATTATTTAACATTTAACATTTATTAATAATATTTTCAGACCTTAATCAATCACTCGATTATAAATTTTATAATTTAATATGTGACTAAGAAGAATATTATTTTGAGGTTACTTTCAAAGGAGGTAGAAAGTTATTTTATAATTTATAATTTAAATACATATAAAATAATATGGAAACTTTAAACTGGAAATGTTAACAATAATCGAAAAGTAAATGTATGACTACCATGCTATCAAATGGTATTAAAAAACAAATCGGAATTCAAAATCATAATCTTTCGAATCGATAATATTCAAATAGAAAAAAATTTAAATTACTTATTGTATTAATAATAATAATGATAACTTATTTAAATTTTAATAATTTAACACAGTAACTAATCATTTATAAAATATTTCAATCGGGAAAAGTTTTTGCAGGTGTGACGATATTTAAAAATTTGTAAATTTAAATAATTGAAAATTATTCAATCAATATTTGTTTTTTATGTTTTCAAACCATTTAAAGATTTTTCTTTTTAAACTAAATCAGTTATTATTATTTATTACTTGTAAAAATTTGATTTAAATAATTTATGAAATGTGTCGACAAGTGAATTTAATGCATACTATGAATAAGAAAAACTCTTAATTCCACATTCGATAACTTAATTATGTATTTTTATATGAAATTATTAGTAAATTATTATTTTAAAAAAACAATATAATTTAAAGAAATTAATTATTGTACCCTTTTATTATTATTATTTCATTTCAAATAATTTTAATAAATTATAAAATGTGAAATGAATTTTACAAAAATTTTTTCATTTTTATTTTAGGTAATCGAAGAGCACCGATTTGGAAATATTTTATTGAAAATAAATGTAACGAAACGGTTATATGCATGTTATGTTCGAGAATTTTTTCAAATAAAAAAAATTGGGGAACAGGTAATATGAAAAGGCATTTGAAATTACATCCTGTAGAAAATGCCTACACTAGGTACATGATGAAAAAAAAATTTGATAATCAAAATTTGTGTTATAATTTATTTAACACATACGAAGAAATGACTAAGTCTAACCCGTTAAAAAAAACAAAGGTTTAAAAATTACAATAAGTAACAAAAAAAATTGCTGTTGCTGTTGTTGCTGCTGTTGTTGTTATGGATAAAAGAATTTTTATTTATTTTTATTTTTTATTTTTTATGAGTAGTTATCTAAATAATTAGAATTAATTAGAGTTTAATTAATAGCTCATTGTTTTTTATTATTTGTTTTTTGTGTATAAAGTTTTTTAAATACTCGAGAGAAAATAATAATAATAATAATAATTTTTATACTATAAATTTGTTAATGATAGTAGATTTAAATGTAAACAAACGGTCGTGCAAATAATCCATAAAAAAAAAAAAAAAAAGAAAAACTATCAGTTATTTATAGGGAAAATTTATTTTTTGAATTTGGAAAAGCTAAGAAATAAATGACTGATAATAATAATTAATGTGATAAGAGTTATCATGAGGTATTATTATTATTTATTTTTTTGTTAATAATATTTTTTTTTTTTTTTTTTTAAATTTATTTGATTTGATATTTTATATTTAAATTTTAAAATTTTTTTTTTTACTGCGATTAAATAATTTACCATGAAAAAATATTAGTATTATAAATTTATTATTATTCGATTTGTTTTTATATAAAAAAAAAAAAAAAATAATAAAAAATAATAATAATAATGATTTGAGATTAAATTCATTTTAATAATTATAATTATAAATAAATTGGAATTTAATTTTTGAAAAAAAAAAATTAAAAATCAATTTTCATTAATTACAAAGAAGAATGTTTTCCGGTTTAAGAAAAAAAATTATTAATGAATTAATTTGTTTTGTTTGTTTTGTTTGTTTGTTTGTTTACAGTTAAACATAAAAAGGCAAAACTTTCAATTGCTTTATATCAAAATTTTGCACAGAGTCCATTATGGAAATATTTTAAATTAGAAGAAAATATAAATAAGGCATTGTGTGCGGGTTGCGGTAAAAGAATGACGTTTAAAAAGGGAGTCACACAAACATCTAATCTCATACAGCATCTCATGAGAAAACATCCGGATATGTACCAGAATTTTGTCATCGAAAGGGAAAAGAGAAACGTTCTCATGCTCGGTGGGATTCAATTACACGAATTATTAAATCAAAATTTTTAAATAATTATATTTTTAAATTGAATTTTAACGTGTGATCGAACGCGAGCATTATTATTTATATAAATATACTAAACGTAATTTAGTATTTTATGTTTGAACGCCATTTTTTTTGTCATGGTACAAATTAGAAAATGAACTCGATCATTCCATAATGAGTTTTATAAT